TCGCTGGCTCTACTGCTGTTGTTATTGTTGTTGTTCAGTGACATTGCAAGCAAGTGGCCATCATTGATGCACTTTATTGGTGGCAAGCAGATCTATTAAGGCTGTTAACAGCTCGAGCGCAAAAGTAGTGAGCATTTATTAGTTGTTGTTATTGTGGTCATAGTTGAGAGCTTTTCGAGGTGGTCTACTTAGTGTTTGGTGTAAGTATTTAAGTAGCAGAATAACGATTTAAGGCTTACTGAGTCTTACTTTTTGTTTAAATGCGTGTTAAGTGAAAAGACTGATTAAAAATATATAAGTTAAAAGTATGTATATAGAAATATATTTGTATCGAGTGCACATATACTTATTCGAGATTATTCCCCGAAAATTTGAAGTTGATGTGGTAAATAGTTCCAGAGTTATGAACGAATTGGTGAGAGCGTCGCTCAGCGCTCGAATCGGCTCCCAAATCAAGAAAATGTGTTTTTATCGAAAAACGGTTTTGAAAATCGGTGCGGAAACTCTTTTCGAAACGGCTGAATTAGCACGACTGGAAATTTCATACGACCTTTTTAGATATTATTTGTATTATAATTTTTTTTTTTTGAAGAAATAAAATTTTATCAATTTTTTCACAAAAAAGAAAAAACCTTTTTTATTGTGAAGTGATTTTGTCAAAAATCGAGATATTGACCAGTGCTTCGCTCATAACCAGTATTCATCAATTGCAATGATATTTGTGCTTTGGTTTCGGAAATTTTGTAATAATATTAAGTATAAACAGTCTATGTCTTAATTAAAGAAAGTGTTTCTTCAAAAAAAATAAATAAATAAATAAATAATAATAATAATATCGGGTGATTTTTTAAGAGCTTGATAACTTTTTTAAAAAAAAAAACGCATAAAATTTGCAAAATCTCATCGGTTCTTTATTTGAAACGTTAGATTGGTTCATGACATTTACTTTTTGAAGATAATTTCATTTAAATGTTGACCGCGGCTGCGTCTTAGGTGGTCCATTCGGAAAGTCCAATTTTGGGCAACTTTTTCGAGCATTTCGGCCGGAATAGCCCGAATTTCTTCGGAAATGTTGTCTTCCAAAGCTGGAATAGTTGCTGGCTTATTTCTGTAGACTTTAGACTTGACGTAGCCCCACAAAAAATAGTCTAAAGGCGTTAAATCGCATGATCTTGGTGGCCAACTTACGGGTCCATTTCTTGAGATGAATTGTTCTCCGAAGTTTTCCCTCAAAATGGCCATAGAATCGCGAGCTGTGTGGCATGTAGCGCCATCTTGTTGAAACCACATGTCAACCAAGTTCAGTTCTTCCATTTTTGGCAACAAAAAGTTTGTTAGCATCGAACGATAGCGATCGCCATTCACCGTAACGTTGCGTCCAACGGCATCTTTGAAAAAATACGGTCCAATGATTCCACCAGCGTATAAACCACACCAAACAGTGCATTTTTCGGGATGCATGGGCAGTTCTTGAACGGCTTCTGGTTGCTCTTCACCCCAAATGCGGCAATTTTGCTTATTTACGTAGCCATTCAACCAGAAATGAGCCTCATCGCTGAACAAAATTTGTGCGCGAAACACATTTCGAACCGAACACTGATTTTGGTAATAAAATTCAATGATTTGCAAGCGTTGCTCGTTAGTAAGTCTATTCATGATGAAATGTCAAAGCATACTGAGCATCTTTCTCTTTGACACCATGTCTGATATCCCACGTGATCTGTCAAATACTAATGCATGAAAATCCTAACCTCAAAAAAATCACCCGATATTAGAAAGGAGCTTTTTTCTGATTTCGAAGTGGGGATAATATTTTCTTATGGGATGGTGATATTACTCAGGCAATATATATTCTGATAATTTAGATTTTTAATTTAAATTAGATTTAGAAATTTCCGTCTTCAGAGCCACCTAGCGAATTTTTAGTTTTGATTTTGGTTGATTTAGTTTACTAGGGAATTATTTTCAAGTTGCGAACTAACCTAGGAGGTAAACTACAGCCGATAGCTATATATTCAAATGCTTTCTTTAATATGAATGTGATGATATGTATATTTAAAATTGTATCTCTAATCGACTAAGACACTACCAACCAGCGAACGCTCAAACTTTTTTTGTCACCCTTTTAATATTCCACACTCATACGTCAGATTGTACTCAAAACTATTTTTAAATTCAATTAAAGCTTTAAACGACATTCTAATTATCATGAGAACTATATATTTGCACGATATACCAGATTATCCCCACTACAGACCGACCGTCTGTGTGGCAGGAAGGCTTATTTGCTGCTATGCAAATTGTTGTGCTCAACTTTTGTTTGTTGTGCCACAGTTTTTGTTGTTGCATGTAAGTTTGAATGTGTGTTGTGTGAATAAAATGTTGCGGCTATGTCCATGTTTATTATTATTATTTTAATTTTAGAGCAAGCAACTAAACGCCGCACAATGTGGCAACAGCGGTGAGCACAAACCAAGCCACAAATCGCAATGAACGATGAGCGAAATAATGCCAGCAGCAACAACAATAGCGGGTTAACCGAAAAACATTGCAAGCAATGCAAAGAAGAGGGGCTCGCGCTGTGAATTCGGCTACATAATTAATAGCTGCGTACGTGTGCCGTGGCGTATGAGTAATTTTATGATTTGTTACACCCGGCAACTCCTCTAAAGCTGCTCGCCGCATAACTGAGTGCCACATCTGCGACACATACGCGCGCACATATGTTTGAGCCGGTGATTATCTGCTGTTTGTTTGTTGAGGTTAATTAATGCATTGTAAGCGAATTGCGTTTGCGTTTGCGTGCTGGCAGCTTTTATAGGCCAACACCGCCGACACCAACGAGCATCAATGGATCAGCACAACAGCCAAAGCAAGCGAGAGCAAACAATGCGGCCGTAGAAAATGCGCCGGCTGAATTTCGTGTGTAATTAGCTCGTTTATTAGTGGCACAAATACATTCTTATTACACCGAGGGCCGAAGCGGCGGCTGGCGGCTGGCGGGTGGTAGGCGCGCAGGCGTGCATTTGTTTTAATTATCTCTTTTTAAGTGTGTGCGTATGTGGTGTGGCAGAAATTGTGGTCGCTGTGTATTGCGGCAATGATTTGTGTGTAGATCACCATTTTATAATGGCAAATGCTGAGCAGGCTAGTCTGAAGGTCGAGCTATAAAATTTTATGGCGCTAGTTAATGACTGATGAGTCGATGAATGGTGACAAGAGCGTGGTACAATTCAGCATTTTATTACTATTAAATTAAAGGGCAAAGGAAATATTGGATTTTTTACTTGCTTGGGAAGTTCAATTGCTTTGGTAGAGTTGAGTGGCACAGCTAAATTTCTAATTCGGTGTGGTGTCATCTCACTACCATATCAATGAATGAATTTGAAACCGTTCAACGTAGTTTTACATATTTATACATTGAATACGAATTTTTATGTGAATATTTTACATGGGTAATCTCTGAAACCATTTTTGAAAAGTTTTTAAATATTTTGGCTTTTCGTGATTTTTTTCCTGAAAGTTCTTTGTAGGGCATAATCAGGTTTCCGAATTATTGGGGTGGTATTTTAGTCTAGGAACTTGAAAAAAAAAATTTTGTTTTTTCAAAAGTCGACGTTTTGATATTCAAAAATACCTCTCTAAAAAGAAAATCAGTTAGCTGTAAATGCTCTTTGTTATTGATTGCCAAAAAAAAGCTCGAAATTCGGGCCTCTCGACTTGAATATCGTTTTAACTAAAATTTTTTGGATTAAAATTTAGATGTTTTTCATGATGTTGGCATCAAAAATTGAAATTATAATTTTTTCTTTATTTTGAGTTAAATTTTTTGACAGAAAATTGGATTTTTTTTCTACTATATAAGGAGATATAATAAAAAATACAGTATGTTTGTGACATCAGAAGATAAGTTTCCACCGAATTCTTTAAAGAAAACAAATTTTTGTATAAAATAGAAATAAAAAAACCTAAAAACTTGGTTTAGAAATTTTCAGCCAAATTTTTAGGTTATGAGAAAAAGGTCTATACAAAAGTTATATATCTACAACATTGCCATATAACTGTTATCTATAGGACTTCTAGTTTCGCCGGAAATAGAGATAAGCCATTTATAATCCTTAAATCCTTTTCTCTCCCTCAGGTCGTCCGTAAATTATTTTTCGCTTAATGTTTGTTATTTTATCTTTCGCTTCCGATATAATTGAACACGTTATGAATTCCGTTTTTGTTTTTTTTTGAAAACTATTCTGGTCTATATGTCTATATGCTTGTATATTTTTAAAGCCGTGAAAAAATATATTTTTAGCCTTTTCTTTTGTCTTGTGTTTATTTTGCTTTGGGAATTTCCATGATACTATAGGAAGCTAATAAAAAATAACTTAGCGTCCAACCTACTTTTGCCGCCAATGTGATCTGGTCTAACGGTATTATATATTGTTTATGAAAAAAAACAAGCAAACGTCGATTTTTTACTCCTTCACATGGGATGGTTCCCTTAAGTGGTGCTATCAGAACAATATGTTCCGAGATTGACCTCAGTTTAGCTCCACTCGTAGCCTACTTGTGTAAAGTAATTACTTTCTATATTAAAAAAGAATAATATTAAAATAACAATATATTTACCCAAACGTTAAAAAGTGCTGAAGTGCGTTTTGCACTTTAAATAAGCGTAGTTGCTGCAAGTGTGGCAAGGCTAACTGTTCGCACGTGCAATATTAAAAAAACAACAAAAATGTTGCAAAAAGCTTTAGCAGCCAGCAAGTTAATGCAAAGCAACAAGAAACGCGCGCCAAGTAGTTAAGGAAACTCTTGAAATACCACACAGTTAATGCGGCTGGTTAGGGAGGAAGGGCCAGAGAGCGGCGGCAATTTAAGCCACCCATTACCGGGCAATTATTATTGCAGGTGAATAATAGTTATTAAAAGCAGTGCTTTAATAAAAATAGTAGCCAGCGAATTAGCGCATAGCATAAACGGTAATAATGTAATGCAAAACTTACCAACTCCTCCAAGGACGGTGCTTGGCTCCAATTTGGCTTTCTTTGTGGCTAAATCCTGATTATTATTGTCAGAAGCGGGCGCCATAACTGCTGCTTGACTTAAAAGTTCGTCGCTTCCTCGCTGTTGTAATTGTGGTGATTGTTGTTGTTGGAGGTATTTCGTTGTTTTTTTTTTATTTTTATTTTTTTTAACAAAGTAGCAGCGACACGAGCGCGGAAATGGAAACAGAGACAACAAGAGAACGCAATAAGTATTTGTGTAATGAGTATAAAAACAGATTTGCTAAGCATAAATATATAATATGTACATATATATGTGCATATATGAGTTTGCAAAGTATTATACAAACTTATATACCGTTAAGTGTGTTTAAACGTAAATGTTTGATATTTATATGTAAGTGAGTAAATAAATTACGCAGATGTTTTTGCTTTGAGCTAATATTAAGAGAGTAAGTGAATAGGATATTAAAAGTGCCGGCGTAAAGTTGGTGCGTGGCGCGCTCGCAGTGAGCGTGGCAAGCGGGCCGGTAGCGACGCAGCTAAAAGGCATAAGTAAATAGTGCGCTGGGAGCAGCGGAAAACGTACTTTGCTAAAACAAATAGAATGAAGGAAATTACAGTTTGACTCTGAGTGCTGAAAGAGCCGTGTTGGCAAGTGCTGCGGGGTAGGGGCTGCTTGAGCAGCACACGAAATGCCAACGGAAACGAAAGTATTAGCCATTACAGTTCTATTGTCGTCCATAGCGGCACGGAGAGAGAGAGAGTGGAAAATATAACATATTTAAGGGGAACACAACAACATTAAGGCACTTTACGGAAAGGTATTTGAAAGACATGTGGGCGCAAAGAAGTGCTCCGGCGCATATGCATCAGTTTTTTGCTCAAACTTCCAGAAAAAAGCGATAATGACGGTGTTTAGTAGTAATTACAACTCTGTGAGTGATTTTGTATTGAAATACGTTGTGGCAAAAAAGCACCTGGAAGTTGTTATTAAATACGAATGATTTTGGTGAATATTTTGTTTATAAAACGTGATCTTGCTCGACTTCTCCCGATAAAGCTGACTTTTTTTAACAAGAGCACGATTCTGATCGAATTTAAAGTCAAAAATGCTATGGATATTATCGATTAATCAACGTATTCACATTTATTCAGATTCCTCTTTCTTTCGTACCCCAGAAAAATGTAGTGAAATATTTAAAACCTTTTCTGACCCGTTTTGTTAAGAGGAGGAAGTCCAATTTTGCAGACTCAAGCTCCGAAAAAGACAAAGTTCCGCTACAACTGCTGCTATTAATATGAATTTCCAAAAAATCGCGTCTCTTTTATTGAAAATCAAGCGAAGTCGGCGCAATTTAATATACAATGAAATAAGTTCAGTACAAATATAACAAAATTAGATGAAAATTTAGCGTCCAAAATCAAAACTTTGATACATTTCGATTTAGCGCATCCAAAGACACGTTTAGACGCATACCTGTGCACCAGCAAACACACACACATGCAAATACTACACCTTGTTTGCCTCCATGCTTAACTCGCTTTATTAGCATTCAGACGCGCGCGCTTTCGCCACTAAATCAACACACAATGGAAATCAAGTCAATAAGCAAATACGGACATACGCGTGGCCAAACATAGAATGAAGGCAACAGCTAGCACTCACCATGCACCACACAACAGCCAGTGTACTGAGTGGCAGTATCGCAACGAAAGTCGACGAATAAACAAACAACAAAAGCCGCAAATTGAAAAGGGTAATTTTGTGTGAAGCACTTTTTCACGTCATTTTCTCCTCAATGTGCTTTTTCGACTTTCAGGACGTTCAGCTATCTATCCATCTATCTATATACGCATAAACAATTTCTGTATGTATGTGTGTGTGTGTGCGATGTGGCAAGTGGAGTGCGCTCACTCTACGCGCCACAGCTGCCAATACCACAGCGCGGCATCGGCTGACACACATTGCCTTGTCGGGCGCCCACGCCTTAAAGTATGCTATACTAGTGGCGAAATTCACCTTTGGAGTGGGCAAGTGGGCAGAAATTCGTGCAGCGCCTCACTGCCAACGCTGTGGCATGCAAGTTAGGTGGTTTGCTGGTTGACTGCTTGACTGGTTGGTTGACTTTATGCGACAAAAAGCAATGACTGGATAGACGCTCGTCCGATCAAAGGTGGCATGACGAAAACAAAGAAAAAAAAAAAAACAACTATGAAGAATGCAAAAAAGCGTGTAATTTGAGTGTTAATAAAATGGCAGATAAAAACTACAAAAATGAAAGGATGTGCCGAGTACGACAAGCAAAAATGAAAATACATGAAAGAGCAGTGGCGGCAAGAATTCAACTGGTTGGCGTCTACTGAGTTGGCATTAAAGTTTAGTTGAGAAATGTGTTAAACCAATTGGAAATGCGGCAGATTAAACAGTTGAACATGATTAAACATTTTTGTGTGGCAAAGTTTTGTGTTGGAGAGCAAAGTACTAATATTTGATGTGACAGTTTCCATGCCACATATGCCACTTACGCCACCACCGAGCAAATGGAACTAGTTCTACGCTACCTTACGTTATGTTACTACCTCTCGCTTTACATATTTAGTAAGTGTGTATGGTACTTGCAGAGGAAATAGCAGGCTAAGTGCTAGCGTAAGCCTACACAGCACAAACATGCCGCTAATCAAATATTTAAGACACTCTCAAACATATTAAATGTACATTTCATGTTGGTCATGGGGATAAAAGCTTATGTCTTTGCGACTTAGCAGCTAAATATACTTTCATTGGACGTTTCCGCTTGCCTATGGGCACATGTGTGTATGAGAAGAAGGCGCCAGCTGTGTGTATTTGTTTAATTGCATGCAACCCAAATTGCCCGGCCCACTGCCTGCAGCTACTTGAAGTCGCAAACTGGGTTATGCTGCATGAAATGCGCCTACCGTGCAGCCGAACGCTTTCACTTACGTCAGCCAGTTGGCACTCCACTCACGGCACAACACACACGCTTACGAAAACAAAAAAAAAAAAAAAAAAAAAAAAAAAAAAAACAAAAAAAAAAAATCACATGAAAACAGACACGACTACATAGATAAGTCTATGTGTGTGTGCAATATGACGACTTGCGCAAATATGAAAGTAGTTGCCTACTTTTAGGCATACAGCGCTAAGTGCTCTTCGGCTATGACTAGCTAAAAACTGCAACTAATTTCGCGCACTCAACAAAGTATAACGGTAAATGGCAAAAACTTGGCCACTGCAGTGCAATAAACTTGGAAATAACTGTGAAAGTGAGCTATGCGGCTGACGGCCGACTGGTGTAGGCGTGTGACGCACTGCGCCTTAAATATGACACAAATTTCGGTTGCTAAAAATTTGGAAAGCAGGGAAGGGTGCGACGCTGCCAAACTTTGCTTTTAGGATAGGTAAATACCAAACGAAACTTTCTCTTTAAATTTGCGCTTTATATTGTGATTTCCATTATAACTTTAAACACTGTTTTATAAAAAAAAAAATGCTTAAATATTTTCCATTTTATTATCTCAACTTCCACTACTATCTGTTTTTATATACACATGCGCCTCATTTTCCTTTTCAGCCTCGCACTTGTTGCTTTTTGTGCTCGCTTGCGCTTCGAAAACTCGACAAGCTGGCTTCATGTTCGCAACTCGGACATATTTTTCGCCTAATGAGTACAACTGAGTACATCTGAGTTTTACCGTTACATTTACCACTACGCTTGCTTTTATGCTTGTTAATTTTCTTTTTCGCTTATTGCCACAGCGCGTTGTTAAGTTCTGCTTGTTCGCTTGCAGGCAATATGTCAGCGCGCCTGATAATATGCTATGTACGGTAAGCTTGAGGGTGTAGCAAAAACACGCGCAGCGAGATAGAGTTTAGAAAAAGGTTTGTTTGGCATGTGGAAAAGTTGAGAAAGTGGTTTGCGCTTCCTTGAAAAAGTGCACATTAAGGTTTTGTTGCTATCCACACACACACACACGCACACAAACCACGAAAGTACTTGATTAGAGTAGTCGCTGCACTGCGGAGGTGAGTCAAGCAAGAGAAGCAAAAACGAGCGCATACAAAAGTCAGCGGTAGATTAGAAAAATATGAAAAAATCATAGAACAACAAGAAAAAACCAGCACAAATAAGCTGAAAAGTTGAAAACACGGCAAGTGCGGAAAATTCCACTCAAAAACTGTAAAATAAAAACAATTTGCTTGTGCTGCGACGCACGGTCGAGCAGCCAAGGTTGAGTCACCGCACAAAACAAAAACAACAGCAATAAAAGAATGTTGTGCGCGTGGGTGGGTGCGGCGGGCGGAAGATGGGAAATAGTAAAAATTGCAGACACATGGTTAAAGTGGCCCGAAAGTATGCTTTAAATTTGTGAAGTGACCACAGCGCAACCGGCGCGCAACTAGCCAGCGGATGAATGGATGAAAACAAAGTTGCGCAATGCCCCAGAGTGTCGCAACATGTGCACGAAATGCAGCGCAATTGAGGAACTGGCCACCGCCTGCGCGCCACGTTGCAACATTGCACTGAGTGTATGTGTGTGTCGGTGCTTCCAGTCACACGAATGAGCAAACTCATTCGCAAGCAATTTATCGCAGCTGCTCGGCCCAAAGCCAACAACAAAAACCAGCGAATACGAAAAAAGAAAATTAAAGTTAACTATGCAACAACAGCAACAAAAGCAGATGATAGTGCCGCAGTCATGCTATAGTGTGTGTGTCCCGGCAGATGTTGCCGCTGTGTGAGCGATTGTTAGTGCGGTTCGTTGGCTTCAGAAGTGAGTTGTTACTTTGTCACACACACACTCATAAGTACACACATACAACAACATTTCTACCGAGTGGAGTTGAGGCGAACCTGCATTTTTCTCCCACATTTGCGCTTTGAAGTGCACAGTCGAGCACCATCAGCGCCGCAGTGTTGCACGTGCATATTGCATGTATGTGTGGGTGCCTGCATGTTGACACACACGCACACCACTATCACCAACCCCACATAAGCGGCCGCATTCGCATGAATTTATGACAGCGTATGAATATTAAAATCGAATATGTTGCTGTCGATTAAAGGCTTTTCGTCAGCGCAACATAACAGCAACAAC